ATTATCTGAAATTCATAATTCCTTTGCTTATAGAGGCTGGAAATCAAGTATTCCTACCTACTGGATTCTTTAAAGAGAAACAAATAAATCATGACTGCTATCACGCTAAGACAACCACCCACTTGTAGCAAGTATCCTTCCTCCAGACCATTTGTTTACTTCTACACACATATACAAATCCACAAACATTGTTTCATATGCATGTTTTAATGTGCATCAAGGTATATATTTTAGTTTAATTCTGCACTCTGCTTCTTTTTAGAGAAGGTTAATGTTGAGATATAGCCACAGTGATGTGCATAAATCCATTTTATTCCTTTTAACGTCTTTGAGGTTTTCCAACACATGACCATACCACATATATGCATCATCCCCCCTGTTAATGGTCATCCTAGTTGTTTCTGGCCTCAGGATACTCATTTATCTTGTGTATGCATTACCTAGGCATTCCACTTCCTGGTTACTTGCACTTAATGCGCTTGGCCTTTAAACTGTCTGACCTCTGACTCAAACATTTTCAGCTACAAAATACAGCAGACTCTAACTGCCAATTTATAGGAAATACAAGAGAATGAGAAACGTGTCAAACCACACCAAAAGAATGCAGTCAGCAAAATCCCACAAAGAAACAATCTATCCCATAACAACCAGGGTGAACTGTTTCCTTCAACAAAAATTGTGAGGGGTAAAAAGAGAGAGATAAAAGAGGAACCTATTAGTTTAAAAATATATATTTTGTGCTTCAAAGGATACAATCAAGAAAGAGAAAAAAAAAAACACAAAATGGGAGAAAATTTTTGTAAGTAATATATCTAAGGGGCTCGTATCCAGAAATTATATAGAATTCTTACAGCTCAACAATAAAAACCCAATTTAAAAATGGACAAAGGATCTGAACAAACATTTCTCCAAAGAAGATATACACAAAGAGCCAATAAGCACATGAAAAGATGCTGACCGGGTCATTGATCATTAGGGAAATGCAAATCAAAACCACAAAAAGATACCACCTCACACCCACTAGAATGGCTATAATCAAAAAGACTGTTGACAAGGATGTGAAGAAACCAGAACCTTCATACTGCATACAGTGCTGGTGGGAATGGAAAACGGTGTGGCCACTTTGGCAAAATCTGACAGTTCAAATGGAGCCAGCAATTTTTTTTAAATAGATTTTTTTATTTATTCATTCGAGACACAGAGATACAGAGAGAGAGAGAGAGAGAGCATGAGCAGGGGGAGAAGCAGAGGGAGGGGGAGAAACAGATTCCCCACAGAGCAGGGAGCGCGATGCGGGGCTCGATCCCAGGACCCTGGGATCATGACCTGAGCCGAAGGCAGACGCTTAACCATCTGAGCCACCCAGGCGCCCCGGAGCCAGCAATTCTACTCTCAGATATTGACCCAGGAGAAATGAAAGCACATGCCCACACAAAAACTTGTAGGTGAATGTTCACAGCAGCATTATTCAGAGGAGCCAAAAAGTGGAAACAAGTCAAATGTCCATCAATTGATGAATGGTTAAACAAAATGTAGAATATCCATACAATGAAACAGTATTCAAACACAAAATGGAATGAAGTATAGCTACTTGCTACAATATGATAAAGCTTAGAAGAACACTACATGTTGTATGACTTGATCTATATGAAATATGCCGAATAGGTAAAAACCCAAGATAGAGTAGATTAGTGGCTGTCTGGGGCTAAGGGGAGTGAGAATGCGGAACCACTTCTAACAGGTACACGGGTTTCTTTTTGGACAAACGAAAATGTTCTAAAACTGATTATAGTGATGTGGGCACAACTCTGTGAATATATTAAACACTAACAGAATAACAATTAAACTAAAAATAAAGAGAGGACTAAAAGACTTAAAAAAAAAACAATTTGCATTGTTTCAACCTTATTTAGATCCTGAGTCTAAAAAACACTATAAAATTATAAGGCAATTATGGAAATTTGAGCATTTAATATCTGATATTTATGAATTATTGCTCAGTTCTTCTAAGTATGATGATGAAATTGAGCTATGTTTTTAAAAAAGGAGTCCCTATCTTTTAGAGATATACCTTAAAATATTTACAGATGAAAGGATACAGTGTCTGGGATTTGCTTCAAAATAAACTGGGGACAGAGGTAAGAAAGATAGCTATACAGGGGATGGTCATGAGATGGTAAATGCTCACTACACTATTCTCTCCACTTTGGAGACATTTGAAATTTTCTATTGAAAAAAAGGACAGAGGAAAGAGAGGAAATACTTCCATGCAACATTATTTATTGTATGCTGATCATCAATCCCAAGGGTGGGAAGACCCTGTTTAAACTGTATTCTCAAGACACATGAAGGCGGTAATTGGAGGAAGAGGTTCAAAAGGTAGAAACTTCCAAGTTATAAGATAAATAAGCACTACAGATGTCATGTACAACATGATGACTAACGCTGCTGTACAACACACAGGAGTTAAGAGAGTAAATCCTAAGAGGTCTCATCACAAGGAAAAAAAAAATTATTCTTTTCTTCTTTTTCTTTTTATTGTATCCATAGAGGATGGATATTAGCTGAGCCTTTTGTGGTAATCATTTCACAACAAAGGTCAATCATGCTGTTAACCTTAAACTTATATAGTGATGTATGTTAATTATTTCTCAATAAAACTTGGGGAAAGAAAAAATTGAAAATACCTTGGACTTCACTTCTGTCCTCAGCAACCACTTTTTCTGCCTCAATTACAATCTTTCCAAAAGAAGGCTTTCATCTTGAATGCTTTTTCCTAAAAAAGCCTTCTGTTGGGTTTCCTTTTGTAATGATTTTTTAAATTAAATTTTAAAACTTTGTTATCTTTGATATTAAGTTGGTTCTTGAAGGACACATTGACCAATTTCCCTTGGCTTGTCAATTTCACTTGTCCCTGTGGTCAAGGCAGGAGAATGGTCCAGAACCCTGAGCTTGAGGCAGACTCTCCTTGGTCATATTAAAAGCAAGAGGTTTTCCGTAAGAGACTCTTAACTATAGGAAATAAACTGAGGATTGCTGGAGCGGGGAGGTGGGTGGAAGGATAGAGTAACTGGGTAATGGGCATTAAGGAGGGCACTTCATGGAATGAGCACTGGGTGTGATACGCAATCACTAAACTCTACCTCTGAAATTAAGAATACACTATATGTTAATTAATTGAATTTAAATAAAATAAAAAATAATTTAAAAAAATAAAAGCAAGAGATTTTCAAGGCATACTTAACCCCAGCCCTTGTCCCAGAGCTGGGTCAGAAAACAACCCCACTTGAACCCCAGCTGAGTCCTTATGGAAACAACAACTGGTCTAAGTTCCTATGTACATACCATTTAAGAAGCACAGCATCTAAATAAAGTTATTTAGTCACGCAATAAGCCTAGGTGACAGGTACTATTATTTACCCCCATTTTGCTGGGACTTCAGAATGGTCGTAAATCACACAGCTTTATAGAGCAGAGTCAGAATTTGAACTCAGGCTGTCTGGCTCCAGGGCCTGCACTTAAACCAGGCTGTACTACCTCCTGGGTGGAAACCAGCTCATCACCTCTTTGTTGCAGTATCACTAATGTTCAAGGACCAGAAATTTAATGAGGCCAAAAATCATTTGCTCTGACAACAGAAGCTGGACGGACTATCTCCCAGGAAACCCCCTTCCCAGCTCCCTCATTAGAACCAACAATTTCACAAATCTTGCTCTTGAACAGCAAAACAAAAGGCGCATGACTTGTTTAAAAAAAAAAAAAAAATGACCCACGGAGATAACTCAAGAGTTAAACATTAAGAGACACCCAGCCCCTCACCTTGCCCTCCCCCCTCCTCCTCAACCTCCAGAAATGCCTGGGTGAAAGGCTAAGGCCAAGGGAGCTGGATGCAGGGACTCCTCGGAGGCAACTCCACAGTAAAAGGAAAACAGGCAGTGTGAGGGTAGGCGGGTCCTCCTAAGTAAATCCAGATCCCAGTCAGGGCGGACTGCGAGGCTTCCCGGAGTCCCTCTGCACACACAACACCCAGGAATGACTTAGCACCAAAACACCAGTAGATCGCTTCAGAGAAGGGCTGAGCATATACGTCCAAGTCTTGGGACTAAACTTCAGAAACACCGAGCACAAGCTGTCCACACCCACCTCCCTCCCACTCCCGGCCTCCCCACCAAAAGCCACACCCCTCCCTGCGGGCGGGAGAGGGGGATGGTGGGCTGGGAAGGGCAACGCGACGGTCCCCAGATGGGTTCAGTACTGAACAAGAAGGGAAGGGGTGCAGGACAGGGCGAGGGAGACCTCAAATGAGCTAGGAAAAGAACTGAAAGGCGCGGGAGTATGAAAAAAAAGGACCAAAATGTAAGAAGCAAGGACCAGAGAGGGACACTGCGAGCGTAACTGGGAACAACTGGGAACTGGAACAGCAAAGCACCGGGGGACAGGGCACGAGGGAATGGGAGGGGCGGGGAAGACAAAGGCTGGAGAACTCACAGTCCCTTGGGGACCGAGAGCCACGGGGGGCACAGGGTTCAGGGGTCAGCCAACTAAGACTGTCCAGAGACGACACCATGACCGTGTGGAGACTGGAGCGACTGCACACTGGGGGCCTGGGAAATGGGAATGACTGCGGAGCAGGGGGGCCTGGAACTGAAACTGGGACTGGGGGGGGGTCCCGGAGTGAGGAGGTCTGAGAACTGGGGGGAGGGACCGGTGACTGGGCAAGGGGGTCGAAGGGCTGGGAGAGGCTGGGGGTCTGGGGACAGGTGTCCAGGAGCGGGTTGTAAGCGATGGACAGGAGGCAGGGGACTGGCAGTGCCTGGACTTGGGACGCCAGAGAAGTGCAGGTGACCGGGGGCCAGCTCCCGCGCGGACCGGGGTCTGCGAGAGACCGGACGGGGGTCTGCGAGCGAGCGGGACGGGGCACTCGGGGGCCGGAGTGTGCAGCTGGAGCGGCGGGAGCCGGGGCAGCCGGGCCGGGTGACAGCGGCGAAGCCACCACTCACCGCTCATGGTGCCGCTCCGGGGCCGGTGCCTGCGCCGCGCCGCCGCCACTGCCGCCACTGCCGCCGCCGGGCTCCAGACAGGCCGGGAGACAGCGCCCCGCCCCGCCCGCCCGCCCCGCCCCGGAAGTGGAGCGCCGCCGCCGCGGACCTGCCCCCCGACCCGGAAGGTAAACTCGGGCGCCGGCACGCCAGCGCGCCGGCGCAGCGAGGCGGTGGGGTCCTGGCGGGTTAGAGACCCTGGCGGGGAAGCACCGAAATGCGAGGGTCGCCCGGCGTTCTTGGCTGCGGCGGGACCGAGCTGGACGTTTCTGTGCCGTCTTGGGCCCACAGCTCTGTCGGGATGCAGGGAACAGGCCCGGAGAAATGAGCCAAGACCGTTCCAGAGAGCAGTAGCAGCTGAGAAGGGAAATAAAAAAGGGTAATTGGCCAAAACCTGCCCGGAGATGGGCAGTTCCGGAGGGCACCCCTAAGGAAACGATCTTTGACTTGAGACCTGGACCAAGGCTGGGAGACGGGCCCGGGAAGATGCGCAGGAAGGGTGTTCCAGAAGGAACAGCGAGTGCAAAGGCTCTGCCTCGGGGCTTGACTGGAGCCGAGGGTGGGTGAGAGAGAGGAGGTAGGAGAGCAGGATGGAGGGTATAAGGGAATGGGAAGCCATTGCAAGAATTTACGCGGAGGAGTGACACGATCTGAATTAGGTCTTAAGACGATTACTCTTCCTGGGTTCAGAATGAATTGTAGTAGGGCAGGGTGGAGAAAGGGTACCTGCTTAGGGAGCCATTGCAGTCAGCTGCCCAGCAAGAAATATGTCTGGGGCTAGGGTGGTGGCGTTGGAGATGAAGGTGGATGGATGATGTGCCAACACGTGTTCATAATACGAAGCTCAGATTGCTGTCCCGTTTTATACGTGGGGGAAAGGGGACCCAGAAAGGTTTAAAAGGGCATTTTGCCTGGGGCGCCTGGGTGGCTCAGTTGGTTGGGCGACTGCCTTCAGCTCGGGTCATGATCCTGGGGTCCCGGGATCGAGTCCTGCATCGGGCTCCCTGCTCGGCGGGGAGTCTGCTTCTCCCTCTGACCCTCCCCCCTCTCGTGCTCTCTCTCACATTCTCTCTCTCAAATGAATAAATAAAATCTTTTTAAAAAAAAAGGTATTTTGCCTGAAACCCGGAGTAAAAAAAAAAAAATACATTTTACATCACAACCCAGTACACACATGCATACATTTAAGGAGATGTTTAATAAAACAATTCCATGGGTAATGTAGTCTCTTCAATTTGTCTTTCTTTTTTTTATTTTATGCTGAATGAGACAGTTGATTGATCCACTAATAAATCTTGATCCACAGTTGAAAACACTGGATTGAGGAACAGGCCCCACAGGGAAATGGAGCCAGAATTCCAGCCCAGTCCTGTGTGACCCACAGCTCCATGGTCTTCCTACTACACTGCCTCTCAACACAAAACCTCTGGCCCCCAGGAATTTATCTTTTGGATTCAGCAGAAGTCAAGAGCTCTTTGGAGAAGGCTGTAGGGCAGCGTTATTTATGACAGTGAAAGAGTGGAAAGCACCAAATAATAGCTAAGCAAATCATGGCCCATTTCACAAGGAATCTCTTGCAGTAGTTGAAAATGCTAATTATAAAGATGGAAACATGGGGAAAGGCCAATGACAATGAGTTAACTAAAAAAAAGTCCCATGCAAAATGGTCTGTATGCCATGATTACGAGCGTGTCAAAGTATGACCATGTGTAGGGACTGAGAGAATGGAGAGATGAAAATACTTGTGTGTTTGGTTGGTGGGGCTGTCTTTACCGTTTTCCAAAATTATACTCTATAGTTGTTGTGAATTTGTAATTTCGAAGAGTCTATGTGCCTAAATCCACCCCTCAACTCCTCCACCCCCAAAAGCCTAGTTTGGTTCCTCCTGCCTCTGTAACCCTTGGTAAGGCATCACATACCTGCTTCATGGAGTTGTCACCATGATGATATGTTCTACCTTCTCATAGCGCCCTGTACCTTTCCTTCATGGCACTTGAGGCAGGATAAGTGAGTGACATCAGAGCTTGTGCTTTACCTATTCTATCCCCAACCACCCCCTTGAAACGTTATAATTCCTTTTTTCTGAGATTTTCACCTAGTCCTCAAAGACCAAGAATTAAGAGCCTAAAGTGTACAGCTCTTGTCAGCCTTGAAAAACTAAACTCATTGAGGAGATGTTGGGGGGGCTGAGGAGGAAGAGGGCCTGTGAGAAGCTAGGAGCAGTATTCCATATACTGTTCCTGTAACAGCTGTAGAACAGAAAAGGAGTGTGTGCCTGCTCTCAGACTACAATTCAAGCGGATTAATAAAAATCATTACAACAATGTAACTCAAAGTATTTATTATAAACCAGATACTTTCATGAAAAAATGTATATATATATACATGCACATGTATGTATGCAAATGAGTGAGTGTGTGTTTTCATTTAATCCTTAAAACAACCTTATAAGTAGATACTATTATTATTTCCATTTTACAGATGGGGAAACTGAGGCACAAGTGGTTAAGTAACTTTCACAGTCACCCAAAGTCTGTAACTTCTAGTAACAGAGCCAGGATTCAAGTCCAGGCAATCTGGCTCCAAGAGCCAGTACTTTAACCACTGTACTATATTGTATCCTGTGGTCCTCAAGGGCCTGGAATGGAAACTTGGAATGGCCCCCAATGGGTAAAAAGGGCTCACCAAGTTTCCCCTTTTCCCAAACCTGACACAAAAGCCACAGCCCCAAGACTTTGAGGTCTATGCTGTTTTGTCAGTGGGCATCTTAACAATGATCAAAGTCAACATATTATCAGAGGGCATCATCACCTGTTGCATAACCTTCCCATAACACCTCAGGACCTTTGCACAACCCCAGGGAGGGACCCCCTTCCCCAATAATGACTTAAGATTGTAGCCCAAAGAGCTGAGGAACTCAAATGAACTTAAATCGATATGAAGAGAAAAAAATAAATCAGGATGTCTGGGTTTAAATCCTGGCTCTGCCATTTACTGGTTATGCTACCTTCCTCTGACTCAGTTTCTCCCATCATCTGTAAAATGGAGGTAATAATTGTCCACCTACCTTGTGATTTGTTGTATGCATTAAATGAGTTAGTACAGGTAAAGCATATAGAACAGTCCTGGCACATTAGTAAGGCTAAGTTTTTGTTGTTGTTGTTTTAAGATTTATTTATTTACTAGAGAATAAGAGAAAGTGTGAGCAGGGAGAGGGGCAGAAGGAGAAAGAGAGATGGAGAATCTAAAGTAGACTCCCTGCTGAGCACAGAGCCTGAGTCATGGGGTTTGATCCCAAGACCCATGAGATCATAACCTGAGCTGAAATCAAGAGCCAGACGCTTAACTGACTGAGCCACACAAGCGCCCCTAGTAAGGCTAAGTTTTAGCCATCATTATTATTACCTGCACTGGGGTCTGAAAATGATACCTACTATACCTTTGTCCTAGTTTGCAATTACACATTTATTTATGGGATTGTAATAATGCCTGATGTCTCCATTAAGCTGAAAGCCCACAAGGTCAGGAGCCTTGCACTCACGCATTGCACACTAAATTAGTGTGGCTGACTCTAGGCTTCTCCTATATCCAGGAGTACATAGGATCACCTTGCTTTCCATTAATAATAAAGAGAAAAATCCAATCTGGCTTGAAATATATATATGTGTGTGTATAGGAGAGAAGGGAGCTAGCCATAGAAATATGGGACTATGGGCTCTACACATTGCAGTGCTTTTTTTTCAGTGAGTCAAGAATTTAATCATGAAACCAAGGAAATTTCCAGTTAAGTTCCCAACAGTAAGGTAGGGAAGTACATCTAACATAAAGATTTTCTAGAATTACAGGACAAAAAGCTCTATCAGCAACTGATAAGTACAATCATCCTAAAGAGATGTGATACATCATCCTTCTGACATAGGATTTTCAAAGCAGCTCTACACCAGTTGAAATGGTTGATTATCTGGTAAAAATGGGTTTCTCCATCTCTGTGACACTAGCTAGCAGGCTGTTACAGTAGTCATTTGTTTTCGTGGTGACGAGAATGGTTGCACCTTCCTCCATAGCCGGGAGTGGAAAGAAATGGTCAGAAGCGACCTTTGATTCAGAATTGACGCAGTCTTCACAGGTACATTCTTCTACTGTGTACTCCAGGCCCCTTGAGAGAACTTCCTCACCATTCCTGCTAACACGGCCCTCCTCCTGGTCAGCGTTCACCTGGTCCTGGAGAGTCGATCCTGATTATGCAGAAACACAACCATTAACCCCAACTTCCCAGGTGGTGCAGTCCTGACAGTCTTAGCAGTACACATTAGGGCTCCAAGCCATGGAGACAGATCTCCTACAAAACAAATGAGTATGTTCCTGCACTAGAAGTCACGAACTGATAGACCGCAGGCCACATTGGATTTGAAGATAGACTTTGTTTAGGCCCATACAGTGTTTTTAAGTGTTTGCTTACATGTTTTATGTTGACCCCCCCTTTAAAAATCAAGAGATTTAAAAAAACAAATTTCAAGGGATTTCACCTGCAAATCGAGGCAATTGGTCTCTTTAAAAAAAGGGGGGGGTAACTGGTAGCTAACATTGCTACATGGAACAGTTGGCTGGAGTCAGGAGCACCTGTCTCCTTGAGGAAGGGCATAGGCTCTCTACTGTTGAAACCTCCACCTGGCCCATTGCATTCACTGGTTGCCCACTTGGCCCTTGGAGGCATTGAGGTATTGATTCTATTAGACACCGGTGAAATGACAGATTACCATATGTTACAGCACACCAAAATGAGCCTTTGGGTGACACTTTAGAATTCAAAGCAAAGATGCTTCCCTTACAGAGCATTTGGTAGCAAATCAAATTTTTCCTTTATAATGAATCTTTTGTGATCATGTAAGGAAGGAGTCTCTATTATGTCCCCATTTATATGCTGGTGAAGGTAAGCTTTATTACTTCCCCAACCTGCCACAGAATAACTCCATCTTCCAGAATGTCACACTTAAAGTCACTCCCCACCTGTCTCTCAGACCCTAGGCACAAGAAAAAAAGAAAAGTGAGTAAATTATGGGCAACAGCCATCTACCTCTCTTTACTACAAATGAGCTGGGTGCTTAATGCAGATTATGCACGGAAAATAAATGCATCAAGAAATAGGCCAATGGCTGCAATGTGTTTGGGAAGCAGATCATGGGCAAAGGTGCAGCAGAAATATTTTTATCTTAAAAAGCCTTTAAGTAGAACATTCACTTCTCTGAGACTGGTTCTCTGCTGCTTAATAAAGATAATAATCTTTAAAATGACTGCTCAAATACTCCAAGAACAGCTGGTTATTAATTTCTAGCAGTTTTTTTGGCAGTAAAATATTCACCCAAGCAAACAGCATTTACATTTGTCTTAAGAATATGGCCATGGATCTTGTCAAATACTTTTTTCCTAATAGTAGCAGACCCAGCTAGCGGTTTCTGAGAGTAAGACATTTAATCAATGTGCTAACTTTGGTCAAAGAGATGGATATTTGCCAAGGAAGCCTCCGTACTTCAGAAGAGTAATTACTGAGGGAAGAATGTGGGGGAAGTAAGGCTCTGTGGGGCACCTGCGAACCAAAAAGAAGACAGCTTGCTCCTTCCCAAAAGTTCGTTTAACACAACTGTCCTCTAACACACTTTCAAAAGGGCTCTAACCAAATGAAATACTCATCACGGGGGGGGGGGGGGGGGGGGGGGGGGGGGGGGTGGAGCATGAGAAGGAACTGAAATTCACAATAGCCACTTCTTGGAAATAGATTTCCAAGACTAAACATCAAACCAACCTGTGTTTTTACGTTTGTTCTTTGATGGTTCTGAATTCATCTTCTTTAGCAAGAACATCAACACGAAAACTGTCAAAGAAACGATCAAGCTCAGGCCCAAACAGGTCCAGAGAATTGTATTCGTTCCTTTCACTGAATTAAAAGAATATCAGAGAGATAATGAACTGACAACATAATATCCACATCAAGTAGATTATTTGCCATCCAATTCCCTTAATTCATCAGCATTGACTTGTAAATTCTAAATAACACTTAATTAGAAGAGCTGATAAAATCTATGTTGCTAACAGCGCTGAATAAAATTGAGTTCAGTTCTGAGTAATTACTTTGCTCCTGTTGGCATTTAAATACTTGCCTTATTTCCTTTCTCTTTTTGATTCAGGAGATCTCACCCTCTTCCCTGTAATGTCTATTCTTCGAATAAATAGTCAATGTAGAGAAAATAGGTCACACCAATGAATTAATTGTTCAAGCAGTATTACTTACTTGCATCACAATAATGCTGACAAGGTAGAGGAGGGGTATTAGAACATCGAAGGTGACACGGTTTGCAAGCAGTAAGCAATCTGTCAAAATACTCATTTTGGATGCACTCCTGAGCCATCTGGAACGGGATCACAAAAAGAAACAAGGAAACGCCAGAAAGAACAGCATGGAAGGACAAGTAAAATCTCGTCGAGAATTCCCCAGCAAATGTACTGACAGCAGCTAGAATGTCGAGGGGAAAAAAAGAACTTCACAACTATGTCTTAGTTCTTACGAGGGGCTGGCTACTTGTACTGTGGTTAAGGATTTGAATACCAGCTCTAATTCCAGTTTCTAAGTTTGAGGATGGGGTAGGGTCAGAGATGGAGTGTAAATATCAAGAGCAAACCATACCTGAAACAGAAACCACTTATTTATAGAGGAAATTTCTATAAATAAGCCAGGTGATTGTTGCAAGGTATACAGACATGCCTGAGGCATCAGGCAGAAAGGTTCAATAACCATTTCTGGACCATCTGTTTTTGAGCTGTGCTGTGTGATGCGCCCCCAGGGAGACAAAGCCTGTGCCCCTTAAGAACTTAAAATCTAACAGGGGAGATAGAAATCCACTCAACCACAAGGTGTAGTAAGAACTGATGGAATGTGAAACAGGGAAAAGGGCATCAAGCATGCCTCCCAGGTTTTGGACCTGTGAAGAATTGCAGAATTCCAACAGAAATAGGGATGTCTATGGGGCACCTAGGTGGCTCAGTCTTTAAGCGTCTGCCTCCGACTCAGGTTATGATCCCAGGGTCCTGGGATCGAGCGCCGCATCGGGCTCCTGCTCAGCAGGAAGTCTGCTGCTCCCTCTCCCACTCCCCCTGCTTGTGTTCCTTCTCTCACTTTGTCTCTCTCTGTCAAATAAATAAATAAAATCTTAAAAAAAAAAAAAAGAAATAGAGATGTCTGGGGTAAAAGCTAAATTGGTAAGAGGGTTGAGGGGAAGATAAGTTTGGGGCATTAGTAGTAAAGTAATCCATGCTCCATTGTTGAAAATTTAGAAAACACAAATGAGCAGATAGAAAAACTATCCATAGTCCAAGCATCCAGAAATAATTAACGTTTTGATGTCTCACAGAAGTTGCAAACAGGCTTGTGTTCTGTTTGGTCAACCCCTGATATAGATCTTTCTGAAAGGATTTCTGAGGATAGATAGATAGATAGATAGATAGATAGATAGATAGATAGATAGATAGATAGATAGATAATAGATAGATAGATAGATAGATAGATAGATAGATAGATAGATAGATAGATGATAGATAGATAGATGATAGGGCAAATGCATTTTCCTTTTTACATAAATGGAATCAGTTGCATTTGCTTTTAGCCATACCAAGTGGGATACCCATATAGAGATATCCAGAGAGGTCAGTCAGAAATTCAGGACTCAGTTAAAATGCAAGAAAATTACAAACTCCAAATTCAGTATAATCTCTGGGGTACGGGGAGGGTACAAAAGAACCTCCAGTTGTGTTGGTCACATTTTATTAAGCCGAATAGTGGATACGTTGGGATTTGTTGTGTTATTCTTTTGTTGTATTCTTTGTTACTGTTGACAGCTTTTGGTATTTTTTTTTAAGCCCCGCACCCAGCATGGAGCCCAACTCAGGGCTTGAACTCATAACCCTGAGATCGAGACCTGAGCCAATATCAATTGTCAGATGCTTAACCAGCTAAGCCACCCAGATGCCCCCACACCTTTTCATATTTTTTAAATGGTACATAATAAATATTAAGATAGTGATGATAATAACATAAAATGTGGGAATTAAAAACAACACTTTTTTTTTAAGATTTTATTTATTTATTTGTGAGAGAGAATGAGAGACAAAGAGCACGAGAGGGAGGAGGGTCAGAGGGAGAAGCAGACTCCCCGCTGAGCAGGGAGCCCAATGCAGGACTCGATCCCAGGACTCCAGGATCATGACCTGAGCCGAAGGCAGTCGCCCAACCGACTGAGCCACCCAGGCACCCACAACACTTTTTTTTTTTAAATGAAGGGTTTGAGCCTAAAAGAGAGTGTGAATTCAGATTTTGAACCTCCCATTCCTCTGGGGGTCCAGGCAGTGAGGTAAATGGGTGTGGGCCAAGAGCTAACCCAGCAGGTTCCACTCCCTCAAGCTCCTGCCAGACAATAAGGCCGACAAAGGTCCCAGGAAAATCACGCTTAGAGAAATGGGAAGATGAAGATCATCCACCATAACAGCCAAGCAAGGAGAGTTTCAGGACGGGATGGGCAGTGAGGTCAAATTCTACAGAAAAGTCAGAAGTGATGTACTAAGGAAGGAGGTCACTGGTGCGCCTTGAGTATGTTTGTGGGTAGAAGCCATATTGTAAGTACTTAGGAGTCGAGAGAAAGAGAAGCAGCCGGTGTGGGCCATGCCTGGGAAGTCTGGTAGAAGCCAGAAGAACAAAGCTTTGCTAACTCTTGGGAAAAGAAGCACAATTGTTTCCAACAGATGTGTGTGAGGCCAGGTGCCTAATGTAAGGTGCACAAGGATATTTGCTGCTTCATCATTTGTATTCACAAAAGCCCATCCATCAATGGAGACTTGGGGTGGAAGACTATGCAGCCATCAGAAAGAATGCGCCAGATGTGTTCTCATATGAACGATACATCACTGAGTGGAAAATGCAAGTTACTGAGCAAGTGTGTAATCTGTTCTGCTGTGTTGACAAATAAAATAGTAGGCAGGGGTGCCTGGGTGGCTCAGGCCGTTCAGCATCAGACTCTTGGTCTCAGCTCAGGTCTTGATCTCAAGGTTGTGAGTTCAAGTCCAAGGAGGAGACTACTTGAAAAAAAAACAAACAAGTAGAATAGTAGGTATATAGACCTATATAGATATATATCTATATATAGACATAAGCTAGGGTGGGAAAAAAGACTTAGTTTTCACTGAAAAATCTTTGGTACTGTTTGAATAATTATTCTTGAATAATTATTCTTTAAATAAGAATCTTTTTTTTTAAGGGTGGTGTTTTAGTCCATTCAGGCTGCTATAGAAAATACTATAGACTGATGGGATGCCTGGGTGGCTCAGTCGGTTAAGCAACTGCCTTCGGCTCAGGTCATGATCCCAGGGCCTTGGGATCGAGCCCCGCATCGGGCTCCCTGCTCCGCAGGAAGCCTGCTTCTCCCTCTGCCTGCCGCTCCCCCTGTTTTTGTTCCCTCTCTTTCTCTGACAAATAAATAAATAAAAATCTTAAAAAAAAAAATACTATAGACTGAGTATAGTTCTTTTTTTTTAAAGATTTTATCTATTTATTTGACAGAGAGAGACACAGCGAGAGAGGGAACACAAGCAGGGGGAGTGGGAGAGGGAGAAGCAGGCTCCCCACCTAGCAGGGAGCCCAGTGTGGGGCTCGATCCCAGGACCCTGGGATCATGACCTGAGCCGAAGGCAGACGCTTAACGACTGAGCCACCCAGGTGCCTCTAGACTGAGTATAGTTCTGTTACAAATAACAGAAGTGTATTTCTCAGAGATTAGGTGTCTGGTGAGAGCCCACTTCTTGAACCTAGGAAGAATCCGAGAATGCAGACAGAAATAGGGAAGTCCAAGGGAAAAGCCAAATTGGCAAGAGGGTTGAGGGGGAAAGGACAGCCATCTTTTTATTATATTCCCCCAAGGTGGAAGGGACAAGAGATCTCTCCAAAGTCTCTTTTCCCCTTCACAAGAGCTCCACCCTCATGACCTAATCACCTCCCCAAGACCCCATCTCCCAATACCACCACACTGGGGATTAGGTTTCAACATGAATTTCCAGAGAACACAAATATTTAGTCTGTAGGAGGAGGGGCATTTGGAAGAGGAAAGAAAGCAGAGTGAAAGGCATGAACAGCAGAGACCAAGAGAAAAGGGATAAAGATTAAAGATGTCAGAGAGGGGCGCCTGGGTGGCTCAGTCATTAAGCATCTGCCTTCGGCTCAGGTCATGATCCCAGGGTCCTGGGATCGAGCCCCGTGTCGGGCTCCCTGCTCGTGGGGAGGCCTGCTTCCCCCTCTTCCACTCCCCCTGCTTGTGTTCCTTCTCTCTCTCTCTCTCTCTGTCAAATAAATAAGTAATAAATCTTAAAAAAAATTAAAAAATGAAGATGTCAGAGAGACCCCTGATGGGCAGTCTGGGCCAGTGAGAGTCCTAAAAGCCAAAAGCACCAAGGGAAGCATCTCCCCAGCTCTCCCTGGGTCTTAGGAGCAGTGAAGTCCTGCAGAGGTTGTTCTTCATCACCTGGGAGCCTCGAGCAGCTTGGAGAAGCCCAGGGATGGCTCCACCCTCAGAGAGGTCTGGCTGACCCTTCTTGGTGGGCCACCAAGTCCCTCTGATATGCAGGAACCTGGTTCTTCCCAGGAACCAGGGCCAAGAGGCTCATCTCACTTCACTCTCATCCTTAAAACATATTCCGTCTCCCAGCCATTTCAAGCTAGAACCGAGAGTGCACCATGTCGGTGGTCAGCCCAGAGAGGATTTCGATGAAAGCCTGCTGAAGCTCCCCAGGATGGCTCTGATTGCTTGCCTTCCCCAAGTCTGTTGTTGCTCAGCTTGTCCCAGCTCTGTCTTTGATTCTGTGGGGGAAGCCTGTGATGCTTCCAATAAATTCCCTTTCTGGCTCACATTAGCCAAAGTCAGTTTGGGTTGGTTGCTAGCAATCCAAAAATAAAAATAAAATCTTCAAACACGTAACTGATTTTTAGCTGATTGCTCCACTCACACCCAAAAGGACAACAATAGACCATGACTGGGGGATGTCAGGCCTTCCCCTTTGCTCCTCAGGATGGGAGTGACTAGTTAATTCTGACATCTTGGGGTCAGCTGGTTCTCCTGCAGGACAGGTAAGGAGATGGGAAAACACAAACTAAGAGGAGACAGAGATTAAGTGTGCAAAAGAGGTTGGGAGACGTCATACTAGTCAAGACTCTTTCAAAGACATGACATAAAAACTTAAGTTAAAAGGAATTTAACTTAACCTGGGTGGCTCAGTGAGTTAAATGTCTGCCTTTGGCTCAGATCATAATCTCAGGGTCCTGGAATCGAGCCCCGCTTCGAGCTCCCTGCTCAGCAGAGAGCCTGCTTCTCCCTCTCCCTCTCCCCCTGCTCGTGTGCGCGCTCTCTCTCTCTCCTCTCTCTCTCTCTTTCTCACAAATAAATAAATAAAATCTTTTTTAAAAAGGA